ATAGGGTGCGCCTTCGACCCCGTGTTTTACCATTTCGCATGCTAAAATTTCACATGATGGGATCGATCATACAAGCACTAATGGACCGGATCCTATCAGTACTCTGAAGTTAAGGTTGTGGCTTAAACCATGAGCAATAACGGCGGATTAGGAATAAAAACACCATACGCGCAGCACATGATGGGTGCGATCATACCAGGGGATACACATGGCAGCTGCACATTAAATCTCAAATCCAGAAACATATACAATCACTTCTGGACAAAACATATGCATGGCATCTAATCTACTTTATAAAACCAAGCCAGTATTTCAAAAATGTACTAACAAATCAACTGCCACTGCCCCAATTTCACATCACGATAGTGATACTGCCACTGCCCCAATATTGCCACTGCCCCAATTTCATATCATCACGCCAATGAATCAGCCACTGCCCCAATTTCATTTCTTTGAATCTTCAGAATTTTCACCTCTAACCATTTCAAATGAGGTAATAAAAAGAGCCTCATAAACAAAATTTTACTACTTTGAAAGTTTGAAATGATAAAGCCATTTCAAAGGCCATTTCAAAAGCAGAAAAGAGCAATATGTAAATCCAGTATAAGGCCCATTTCAAAGCTACTGCAAAGAGGCTCAGATATTCACTATATATATATATATATATATATATATATATATATATATATATATATATATATATATATATATATATTCATTACAAGGAAATAGAATAATAACGCCATGGCTGCTTCTGGCTGGGCAGATAACCACGCCATGTTACGTATTATTTAAGTAATCAAAATAAAAGAAAACATATAAAAGCAATCATCACAGCCTCTTTACTGTTCAAATTATTCCAGCTTCACAGACAACCCAGAGAAATGTACAATCAGAAATAGACAAAATCCAGGTATCATTTTCAGAATTGGAGCAGTCTGTATAAGTGCAGGAAAATGCATGGTTCAAACTAACTCACCATCAGCTTTGTGGTCTAAGGCAAGACAATATCCTCTTTCCATTTCAAATGAGGTATTATAAAGAGGCTCATACCCCCAAATTGTTTCTTTGAAATCTAAAATGAGGTATATTTGGTTAGATGGGGATACTGACCATGAGCTTAATGGCTTAAGGCCAGACAGTATTCTCTAAGTTTATACTCATTACAAGGAAAAAGTTTATGATAACGCCATGGCTGCCTCTGGCTAGGCCGTAGCCACGCCAAGATACGTTTTATTTCCTTAATTTCAAAAAAAAAATATGGTAAAACATATAAAATAAATCATCACAGCCTCATAATTTTACAAAGTATACCATTTAAAGGGCAGAATTTTACAAAGTATACCATTGCCTTATAAAGAGGATGAAATCAATTAAGTGGACCAACTATAACTGTCTTTATAAGGGCAGAATTAGAGGATACTGTCTTGCCAGGAAAATTACCATTTGAAGGTAATATAAAGAGGCTCAGATATTCACTATTTAGATAATCATTTTAAGAAAAAGGTTATGATAACGCCATGGCTGCTCCTGCCATCCAGGGAGCCACGCCAAGATACGTATCAATTTCCTTAATTTCAGTAAGCTCATTAAGAGAAAACATATAAAATCTATCATCATAGCCTCTAAAGTCTACAAGTCAATCCAGCTTCATACCCAAAGTATACCATTGCTGCAAAAATATGTTGAAATCACTTAATTACAAGACAAAGAATGGAACTTGGTCCCTATAGCACATGACAATTACCCATTACAAGTGCTAGAGACCAAATCAGTCAGTTCCATCCTGGAAACTCCCCATGTATATATACCCTTCCACTCTTACACACTACACACCCCTAAACCTTACTTTCTTAGCCTAAATCCCTGAATCTTCCCTGTAGACTAGCCCTATAGTTTTAAAAGAAATGAAAGTGTCTAACAACAAAAAAAGGTTTATTTCAAAATATAGTAGTCTTAATAACATCCCACAATCGATTTATGAATATAATACGGATCGGAATATAACATAAGGTCTTAAAATTTTAATTTTTAGAAAATAATTTTAAGATAAATCTGAAATTATTTTTTAAAATTTTCAAAAACAAGCGAAGGTTAGAGCAAATCATAAACATTTCAAAATTAATACTACCAAAAACTCTATTAAAAATCAAATAGATGTCATCTGAATAGTGAATATACTTTAAAATCTGCAAAATACAATTTCTTACAAACAATTTTCGAAAAAACGCCAAATGTATTACTGAGTATATAAAATAAAGGAAAAAGGTGTTTAATTATAAGAANTTAATTTTTAGAAAATAATTTTAAGATAAATCTGAAATTATTTTTTAAAATTTTCAAAAACAAGCGAAGGTTAGAGCAAATCATAAACATTTCAAAATTAATACTACCAAAAACTCTATTAAAAATCAAATAGATGTCATCTGAATAGTGAATATACTTTAAAATCTGCAAAATACAATTTCTTACAAACAATTTTCGAAAAAACGCCAAATGTATTACTGAGTATATAAAATAAAGGAAAAAGGTGTTTAATTATAAGAAATAAGCAAACCTTCTATCCATGGTAATCAAGGGATCTGCGAATGACGGCGACGAAGATGGGATAGGAATTGAAGAAGAATGAAAAAGAAAGAATGAAAGGATAAAGAATAATGCAGAACAACCTAGAGAATGGAAGGGAGATGAGATGGAGGAGTCGGCGGATGCTAGGTTTTAATAGATTTGGTTTTGATTCCTAATATAAGGATGATATGTTTTTATTTTCCAGTACTTTTGGTCATTATCAAATAGTCATTATTCAAGTAAATGTCTATCATTACTGGACATTATTCCTCCCACAAGGTCATTATTAAGTCCAATTTAGAGAATAAAAAAGTTTAAGTCCCACATTAGGAAAGTTATTATGTTTTAGTCCTATTTAGTGCAAATTTCACTTGATTCATTTTACTCCCTCCGTTCCTAAAATATTACTCTCTCCGTCCCTACATATTTTTCACATTTCTATTACCAAGATCAAATATAAAATTTTTTCAATTCATTTTATTTACATTTTGGTATAAAAATAAAAAATAAAATTTACATATAAAAAAACTACATGAAAAGTTATTCGAAATAAGAGGTGTCAAGAATATTTTATTTTATCAAGTAACCAATGAAAACGTAGAAATACACAAAAGTTCTCGCGACTCCTGAAAAAGCAATTGTGGCAAATATTTTGGGACGGAGATAATAGTACGGAGTACATTTTATATTACTCCCTCCGTCCCAAAATATATCTCACATTTTTTTTTCAGCAGTCGCGGGAGCTTTTATTTATTTCTACGTTTTCATTGGTTATTTGATGAAATAAAATATTCTTCACAACTCTTATTTTGAATAACTTTTCATGTAATTTTTTGATATGTAAATTTTTTTATTTCTATACCAATATGTAAATAAAATGAATTGAAAAAACTTGATATTTTACCTCGGTAATAGAATTGTGAGATAAATTTAAGGACAAATGGAGTAATACATTATATTCCCTCTGTTTCTTAAAACAATTCATATTTCATTTTTACATGCAAAATCTCATCTTTCTTTAAACAATTTTATTAACAAAATAAGTGTTGACAAGAATATTTTATTTTGTCAAATAACTAATGAAAAAACAAAAACAAACAAAAGTTATCGAGATGCCTTGAATAGTAAATATGAATTGTTTTAAGAAACAGAGAGAGTAATAATTTACGAATAACATCTTACTATACATATCTAATTTAGTCATTTAAAGTTGAATCAGTAATTTAATACAACATATATAAAGTGATAGAGAGTATTTATTTATTTGATTATCAAATAGTAAAAATGACACTAAATTATTTGTTTTTGTCAAAAATGTCATTGTCTTTTGTTTTCTTTCCATAATTCCATCGAAGTCTCTAAAATATTCAAAAATGTCACTTAAGTATTATATTTTTTCAAAATATCACTCTCGATTTTTTCTTTCAATAATGTCATTTAATTTTCTAAAATGTTCCAAAATATCACTCAAATATTTGTAAATATTCAAAATGATCTTTAATAGGCAATTTTTTGTTCCTTTTCTTTAAATTTATACATTTTTCTAAATTTTCCCTACACTTTTGTAATAATACTCCCTGTGTTCCAATTTATGATCTTGATTAGATTTGACATACATTTTAAAAATAAATTTAAGTTGTTGAAAGTGATGTAGATGAGAGAAACATATAGCAGGTCACAAAATGTTTTCTAAAAGATTAAAGAAAACAAGTCAAACATAAAGCTTCTTTTAGACATTCGAAATAAGAAAGCAATAAGATTAATTTGAAACAGGGGAGCATGTGATATTTTGTCACTTTTCACTAATAAAAATATTACTTTCATTTCAAAAAATTCTAGCATTTTTTAACATATATTACCAAAATATATCTTACTTTATTTGTTATCTTTCTAATAAATTAACACGTGACTTGAAAAGTTTTCTTTCATGTAAATAAATACCAACATCACACTCTTCATTCATAGATAAAAAAACTAAATTGATTATTTTTGGAGATATTCAAAAAACAAAAGAACTTTTAGTGGAATTTTTGAAAAAATTAGAAATTAATGGCATTACTGGAAGAAAAAAAGATAGTGGCACTTTTGACAAAACATAATACTTAATTGACACTTTCAAACGTTTTTAAGAGTTCGATGACGTTTTTGAAAAAAATAAAAGGCAGTGACCTTTCTTGACAAAATGAATAGTTAGGTGACGTTCTCTTTAGTGTACGGATTATCGAATGTTGTCTTCTTAATAGTATCAAATGTTATCTGATCTCCTTAATAAAATGATAAAAAAATTCCATGCTTTTTTAGTTTATTTTATTTAAGAATTGGTATAAAATAAAAAATAAAGTATGACTTACATGTATAAAAAGTACGTCAAAGTTTTACAAAACAATGTTGATAATAATATTTTATTTTATCAAATAACCAATAAAAAATTACAAATAAATATAGGTTATTGTGAATTTTAATACAAGAGCATATATTGTGAGACGAATGAAGTATTTTATGACGTAAAAGTCACATCCTATCTTGAAAGATATATTTCTTGCAATTTTTTGATAAATTATGTGTTTATTTAGCAAAAAAAGACATCCTTGATTGACGTATAATTGGTAATATAATATATGTAGTACGCTCAGAAAGCTCTCTCTTTTATTGTTTGTATTGTTTGAAATGAAAGATGTAATAATATTTATAATTGTATGAGCATACATATGTACATGTTTTTATGTTGAACAGTGTTACATATAAAATTTACTACTATCTATATTTTAAGATATTATATCATCTAAAACTAATTACCAATAATTTAAAACATTTGTAATCATCTTGATTTGAAGATGCATACTTTCCCGTGCATCGCACGGGTGATGCACTAGTATTAAATAGGCAATCTTTATTAATTGGGTATCATTTCATGTTTAGTCCTCCGTCTATTTTTCCATCTTCGTGCCATTAGACAAGGACCAAACAGTGGCAGATCCAGACTTTTTAATAGCTGGGGGCACAAAAGGTCAGGGTTTATCAGGTGAAGCACCTAAGTTTTTTCAATAGCAAATTTAAAATAATAAAAAAAAGTTATAAATATTTAAATGTTTTTTTCATGTGATTTTTTGATTAGACAATTTAAGATTTTATATTTTAAAATATTACTTATAATTATATGCATTGAAACACACTTTAGTTAGGATCTCTTCAATTTTAGTTGGGGTCAAATAATAAATGAGTGTAAAAATTTTATAAAATTAACCTTAAAACCCAAAAATTAGTTGGGGGCCATTGCCCCCTACTTCTAAGGCATAGATCCGCCCCTGAGGCCAAACGTGGATTGGTATCCAATCAATAAGGACTAGGAAAATAATATTTGATACGGACTGATTTCATTGTGTCACACCGGTTAAATGAGGAACTTGGTGATGAGTTTATATAGCCAAGGGTTCTCCCACACTAGGAAAAAAATTATTTTTCATTTTTGTTTTGTTTTTGTGTGTTTGTGTTGAATGATGAACAGTCTTGATCTGAAAAGTAAAATTGAACTTACAAATTCTTTGTTTATATGTCTTGTTAATATTTATATACATAACCTTGTAAATTACAAAATTATCTCTTTTGACGGAATGTGGTATGAGTTTGAGAGTTGTTTCATTATAACATTTTGAGAGTAACTGTGTCTGAGCCTTGAGTTAATTTCTGTTAATAATTTAACATAGAATACCATAGAGTTTTTCAAATTTATTGGTTTACTAGCTAAATTTAGTTATAACTTTTATAGACCATGATGTTTCACATTTGTTCTCCATGAAATGATATTTTAATTTGACACATTTAGACATGATATAGGCCATCTTTGTTTAACCTCTCAAACCAAGCCTACCCAATTAAAAAAAAAATCCCTAGTTGTCCCCTTTTGAGCCTTTTTCAGTAAATAAGTGTTACCACTTATCCCTTTTTTTTCTTCTTGTTACCCTGTAAATATTTAATCCTAAACCATTTTGCCAAAATAAATTATCCTTCCACCCTAGAGTAGATTGTCTTATTATTTGAGAAGGAACTTAAAAAAAAATTTAATAATTGGAGCGCTGTGTATTTTTTGTAAATAATTGAGTATGTCGTTTTTTTTCTTTTGTATCAAAGTTGTACATTCTTTGTCTTTGTAAAGATAATAATAACTTAGTGTGCCTTCAAAAAAAAAAAGAATTAAAAAAAAAGAAGTTAAAAAAAAAGTTAAAAAAATAAATAAATAAAAATAAAAAAAAGAAAAAAAAGAAAAAGCACACTAATCTTGAACTTTTTAGAGTTTTAGATTTTATTCTTCTTGGGCATAAAAAGTAATTAAATAAAAAATGCCCGTACCATTTACTGTATTCTTTGTAAAATAATTGTGATTTTTCATTTTCGAGTCATTTTTTTACCTTGCTCCATAGTTACATTTGTAATAATTTTTGAGTTCCTGATCAAAATAAGTATAATCTATCTCTTTTTGTTTGTCCTTTATACCCTTTCTTTGTTTGCCCACTTACCCTTAGCCCCGTTACAAGCCGAATAAAAGTCCTAATTGATATTTTTGTGTCACTTTTAAAATAATTGGATTGGAGAAACTTGGTTTATATTAGTTTAACTAGTTTAGCACTATAGGTGTTTGTGTTAGAGTATTAACATGAAAGTTTCTAGGATAGGCAATATTACTCAAGTTACTCTCATTTTATTATTTTGTGACAATTCATGGGTTTTGGATAGTTTGGTGGACAAAAGAGATGATTTTGTGATTTGTAAAATTATGTATGTAAATTCTAACAACACATGTAAAGATTGTATTTGTAGTTTATTTTGCTTGAGGACAAGCAAAAGCCTAAGTGTAGGGGAGTTGATATGCATATATTTTATACACTTTTTAGGCATATTTTGAAGGAGTTTTAAGTCCCAATTGAATTAATGTTTACATTTTATGTTAATTTTCCGTTTTATTTTGGGAGGGCAGTCCTATGCTTGGTTTTATATGTTTTGCAGGTATTTTGAGACCATTTGAACGCATTGAGAACAATTTAAAGAACAAAAAATAAACATGGAAGTTTGGGACCAAAATAAATGGAAGAAATTTGAAGGAATTGAACAAAAATAAAGCATAAAACAACCCTGGGATTCGAACTCTGGAC